CCCGACTCCATAGATGGCCCACCGCCTCCCCACGGCAGGTGTTCGAAGCTGCTTTGGTGGGGTGTTCCTTCTCCTTACTCTGGCCACAAATGAACTGCAGACAGGATCCAACCTGGATGCTAGGGGCATCCCAGCCCTCACGTGGTGCCAGCCTGTGTGCTCTGCCCCGAGCTGCTCTCCAGCAGCTACCCTGGACTGCGGGCAGATGAAGGATGACATCTCTACAACATCTCACCTATACAGGACAGCCGTCCTCAGGCCACAGGGATTGGTACTATGGAAGGCTCCACCTAAGCAATCCCAAGACAGTGACCTCCAGGCCTCCTGCCTGGCCCCTGGGCTGTTTAACACTTGGAACCCCACTCCTCCCTTACCCTCTCCTATTAAAACCCAAAGTCAAAGCCCAGGGAGAGGGGTCCACACGGCGCCTCCCCACTGTGCACTGTGCCTGGGCACCATTGCCTGTCCCCCACCGGGTGTGTGGCTCCAGACCCCGTGGGGCTGGAGACAGCGGCTGTACCTCAGTTTGGAGGACCTGACCAGCCACGCTGTCCAGGCGGAGCCGCGGCCTCCAGCGTGGGTGCGGGAGGGTCTGGCGCAGCGGGGAGGGCAGCGGGGAGGGCCGAGGTGGAGACGGGGTGGGGTTGTGGGATTGTCTGGAACCGGCCGCTGAGGCAGTGTCTGCGGCTTGGCCACAGCATGGCAACCTCTCTGCAAAACGCCCGTCACACAGACCAGGCCGCTGCGGCCGACCGGCAGGCACACACGCACAGGACACTGTCGGAAAACACCCGGTTTATTAGGGTTAGCAGAAGCGCACATTGGTTCCTTTAATATTTCTAAGCAGACACACGTGTTCCCCATTAGAGCACACACGTGGACACGTGTCAGGCCGCAGTGACAGTGACAAGTAGAAGTCATGTGACCCGCTAGGCAGCGGTGTGTGACAATCTGAAGAGAGGACAGTGTGGGACAGACTGAGTGGGAGGCCGAGGAGGTGCTCCAGCCGCAGTGCTCCGGGTGCTTCCCAGAGTACTTGTGGGTTGAGGTGGGGAGGGGCTGCCACGCCCCTCCCTGCCGGTGTCTCCCAGAATGCTCTTCAGGAGCCGGGTCCTGGGTCCTGCCCTCCAACTTCCTCCCTCAGGCAGAGCTGTTATTCTTGCCAAGCCCACTCCTCCGGTCAGCCCAGAGCTGCCAGCTTTGGCATGCCAGAGAGGGCGCACTGCAGTGGGCAGGCGGCAGCGCGCACCGACTCATCCACCAATGCAGTACGCCCCCACCCTCCACCTAACAGTCCCAGTCCGGATCACTCCACCCCCTTTACAAGTATGAATCCTTTAACCAGACATCAATATGTCTGAGTGTGAATGCGTTTCTACAAGAGCTTTCATGTAAAAAATACCATGCATCTGAGTGACATGCTGGACCAACCAGGTGCCGTCACTGGGTGTAGGAGACAGTGGGAGACAGGAAGACTCGGGCGCCAAGCGGGAGTCGCAGCTCCGGCCCCGAGCAGTTGGGGCCAAGAGAGATTTCTGCTTGGAGCACAGCCGCGCGGCTGCCTGGTTTCACGGGGCAGAGGGGCCTGGCAGGGTCAGCCCCGGCCTCTGCCTGGAGGGCGCGTAGGACCTGGGCGGTGGACACGCCCTGCCACCCCCCCCCCCAGGGTCTTCAGCATCGGTGCAGCCAGGGTTGCCGAGGCCAAGGGTCCACGCTCTGGGAGCCCGGACCTGACTCAGGGAGGGAGCAGCCTCCACGCAGGGGCCCGCGGCGGGCGGGACCACGGGCCCTGAGGCGCACCTTGTGTGGGGCTGGGGCACCGGCCCCGCCCTGGGGCTGAGCAGGCCTCCTGCCCTGCCCTGCAGCCCCACAGCTCACCGATGAGACGTTTGAGGTAACGCAAGTCCCCGCTGCAGGGGCAGGGCGGTGCACGCTCCCCCTTTATTGCTGGCGCCAAGGCCAAGGGCAGGTGGGCGGGGGCACCTGAGAGGGCAGCCGTCCGGCTGTGGTCTGGGGCCCGCTGGGGCGTCCCTGGCTCCCGGGGTCCCCAGGCACTTGCATTGTGTCCTCCGGGGCTGCACGGTGGTCTCCTGCCACCAGAGGGCCCCAGGCCACTGCAGGCCCAGGTGGGCCTCCTAGGATGCGTCACTGCCCGCCGGGGAAGGAGGGGGGCACCGTCCCCAGTGAGGGAAAGGCTGGCCTAGCCCCTTCTGGGGGTGCAGTCCACCTCCCCACCCATATATCTCTGCTTCAGAATATACTTTCTATTAGAAATTCCTCTTCCGCATGGCTCTCCTCCACATTCAGGCAAGTTGGGGGAAGGGGGCTGGGGGACACGCACGGCGCCCCGCGGGCGGCCATGCCTTCTGGCAGGAGGAAAAGTAGAGGAGAGCCAGGCTCCCCGCCCAGTGCTCAGCTGGGCAGGGCCCGGATGCCCACTTCCCCATCAGCCGGGACCTACGAGGTCCCGGGGTCCCAGGGGCGTGCGGGGCACGTGCCGGGGGCGGCTGGCGCCGCGGGGACCTGCCACCAGCCACTCAGCTCAGGCCCAGAACGGCCAGGGAGAGCTGGCAAGGGGGCTGGGGTTATGCGTGGCCCCGCACCTGGCGC